CCGGGAGCGCCCCAGGCCCTGCCTCACCTCGCGGCCTTAGCACTGGCTGTCCCCTCAGCCCTGAGCACTCAGCCGCCTCGACGTTCACAAAGCTCTCCCTCATTTCCTTCGGGTGCCTCTTCCCATGTTAGCCCTCAGAGAGGCCTTCCTGACTGCCCTGTCTAACCAGCATTCTCAGTCGATCGCTGTCCACCCTTGGCCTCCCGCTGCATTTCACTGGACAGCAAAGTATAGAACATGGGCTTCTTTTCTCTTTCCTCACCTCAAGGGTCATTTCCACAAGGGGATGAACCTTGTCCATTTGATCCCAGTATATCCCACTGCCTGTGGTGGAAGGTCTCAACCGGGGGCAAATATGGCCACAGGGGACATTCGGCAATGTCTGGACTTTGGTCGTCACAGCTGAGGGGTGGGGCAGTGGTTCCTACTAGCATCGAAGGGGTGGATGCCAGGGATGCTGTCTAACACGTGGCTGTGCACAGGACACCCCTACCATAGAGTACCCAGTCCAAATGCCCAAGGTGTCAAGGCTAAGGAAGCCTGGTCTGGAGACACAGCAGGGACCCAACAAATATTTGCTACTCGAGTGAATAAATGATGAACATTGAGGCTCACATCTATGGAAATGCCTGTGCAGTTCTCATGATACGGATGGTCTCTTCTCAGGGTACCAATATCTCACTTATCTCTTCATTCAGCAAATGTTTACCGAGCACCCACTACACCATGTGCTCTGTGCTGTGTGTGCAGTGGCGAATAGGCCACACACAGGCCCTGACCTCTGAGCCTGGGGCGGGGGAAAAGAAGATTCTGTAAAGGCACCTGGGGACCTGGGTTCTTCTCCAGCTCTGTCACTGTTGGTCTCACGACCTTGGATAAATCACCTGACTTCTCTGGACATCTCTTCCTTACCTGTAAAATTTAAGGGTCGCTTTGATTTTAAAGCTCTCTTCCAACATCTAAAGGCTATGCACTTCATTGATCACAGAGGATCAGTTCCTCTTTAGCCTTTTTGACATTCATACAATACCATTAGCATTGATTATAAAAGCTTCGGTGATCCCCATGTCCTGCAACGGGGAACTAGGTCAATAAATGACCACATGACGGGACACACTGTGAGCGCTCTGCTGTGAAACGACCTCCAAACGAGGGCGCCTGGTGCTCGGCGGGGAAGCGCTCCTCGCTCCCAGACCTCCTTAGTCAGAATCCCCTGCATGTCCGAAGAGTCGACATTTCTTTTCTATCCTTTTCTTAAATTTATGATGAACATGTTCAAGGACACAGAACATCATCCAGAAGAGCCCAATGAAGAGCACCAATCAACCCAACAAGTGTTCCTGTGGAGCCATATTTGCCTCAACTCATTCTCTCTTCGTTTACCAGAATCATTTCAAAGTCACTTGTTGGTCTAGAGCAGTGGTCCTCAAAAGTGTGATCTGAGGACACCTTGGAGGTCCCCAAGACCTTTTGTGAGGTTCTATGCTGTCAAAATATTTTTATAATCATCTTAAATTATTCACCTTTTGCATTCTCATTCTCCTGTGTGTACAGTAGAATTTTCCAGAGGCTACATGACACGTAATATTGCAACAAGTTGAATGTAGAAGCAGGTATGAGAGTTCTTCTGTCTTCTAGTCAGCCATTCATTAATGGTTTTTAAAATGTAAGAAGGAACTTATTCTATCATGACGCTTCATCCCTGACTACTACAGTATGCATCTCCAAAAACGAAATCTCTACATACAGACAGTGTATCTAGCTATTGCTGTGTAACAAAGTACCTCGAAACACGGCACCAGAAACAAACATCTGACTGTTTCTCCCTCTGCCTGCCATCCAGGAGGGGCTTAGCTGGCTGTCTACCACCATAAGATTATTACATCTCATAAAATTTCCAGTAGTTTCCTCACATCAGCTAATAGGCAGTCACACAAACATAACCCAGCTGTCCCCAAATGCCTATTACAGATCTTCATTCAGGCCAGAAGCCAATTAAGAGCTACAAATATTTGATGATTGTCAGGGATTGAATGTGTCTCCTCCAAATTCGCATGTTGAACCCTCACACCCAATGGGACGGTGTCAGGAGGTGGGGCCTTTGAAAGGTGATCAGGTTATGAGGGTGGAGCCCTAATAAACGGAGGCAGTGCCCTTCAGAGGGGCCAGAGAGCTGGCTGGCTCTCCTGCTGCCATGTGAGGACACAGCAAGAAGTCAGCCATCTGCAACCCAGGAGAGGGCTCTCGCCAGTACCCGACCACGCTGGCACCTTGATCTTGGACTTCCAGCCTCCAGAGCTGTGAGAGATATATGCCTGCTGTAAGCCATCCAGTCTCTGGGACCGTCCCATAACAGCAGAGCTGAGCATGACAGTTATTCAGTCTCATGAGTCTCATTTGATGGAGAATCTCCCCTTTCTGCTTTCTTGCCCGATAGCGACTTGTTGCAAAGGCAGGGCCCGATGGCCCACTGAGGATGCCAAGCCCTCTGAGGCACACGAGGGTACAAGGGGCCACTCTGGGGTATGGGATACAGAGGAGCTGCCTGGACGGCCTGGAATATGACGTGTAAGGACAACAGCCAGCAGAGGATGAGGGGGCTGCTGGTGCCCAGCCTTCTACACCTCAGCTCGTTCACACTGAACACCAGCCCAGCCTGGCAGACCAAGTTTTATGGGGCCAGGAGAGTCCAAGAGAGAGCTGGTGGCAGGGGAATGGGCGGAGGGACACATTACAGTCCCGGGACAGAGTCGGGGGACGGGGACAACTAAGCCCCCACCCTCAATGCCACTGCCATCACCACTTCCTGCCTCTTGGGAATTTTCCAGCATGTAGACCCTCTTACACCTACGTGATCCCCGCAAAAAGCCCAGGGAGCAGGATGAGCACATGCAGTTGGTCCCATTCCATGGACACGGCATCTGCTCCGAGGGGAAGGGCTGCAGCCAAAGCCACCCTGCCAAGTGGCAGAGCCAGGCTTGAGACGTAAGTCCCACACAGAAGCGTAAAGCATGTGACCCGCACTGCCCGCGGGGGCTGTCCACATCAGGGTTCAGGGACAGGCTGCCTTGGCCTCCCCCACCTGTGGCCGACATCACAACGCCTCACCCCGCCATGGGCGCCAGCAGCACCGGTCTTCTCGTTTCCTGCTTACAACACTTCCGCCCACACCACTCAGCCCACTTTTGCAGATGAAGAGAGGGATTCGACTTTAGTCCGCACCAGGTTCCAAGTGGCCCCGTACACGGACAACATCCAGGTCTGCCACAGGCTGAGTCCGGCAGCGGTGGATACACGCTGACCTAGTGCCTGGTGGGTTTGCTTTCCCACGAAAACCCTTCGGTGGCTTCCCAGCTACAACTGGCACACAAATAGGCCACGCCTCTTTGGCAGAAGCTATTTCTGGACCCCACAGCATAAAAAAAGCCTTCACATTGTATTTCCTCTCTGTACAACACTGCAGAAGGGAATCCGAACGCTAACCAAGGGCTCAGCATCAAACAAATCACAGGAAAATGAATTCTAGAATACTGGAGCCGGAAGAACATTTATGAGGGAGGCAATGTGTGGAGACATCTGTCGTTGTCCCAACTTGGAGAGAAGGGAAGGAGTGTTACTGGCACCCAGTGGGTAGAGATCAGGGACACCGCTAAACATCTCACGGCGCACAGGACAGCCCCATGACAAAGAATGACCCGGCCTGAAATGTCCCTAGTGCTGATGGGGGAGAAACCCTGCTCTACACTCCCGGTTCCTTCGAGTACAAGAAAACTGAGGCCCAAAGATACAAAGCGACTTGTCCAAGGTTCCACAGCCCCAAGCCTGAAGTGGAACCCGGGACTCCACCACCTCCTCCTCCATCGTCTGCTCTGCTCAGGGTGGGCAGCGGGAGAAGCGAGGGTGGGGACCCACAGGAAGCCAAAGTGCACCAAGTCAAGAAGTCGGCAATAAAGAAACTTCGGCTGTGCAACCTCAGCATTGCCTTGCAGGTCCCCCAACGGTGTGAGTTCCAACAGAGTTCACTGCCGCCGCAGCTCCCAGAGGGCGCCCCGCTTTAGAGGAAAGAATGCCACTTCCTCCTCCTACGGGTGCCCACACGTGTTCCCGGCCTTGGGTGGGCTTGGAACCAAAGGAAGGCATCTACACACAGGCCCGGACCTCTCCAGAGTCCATAAAAAGCGCAACGAACTGAAAAGTCACCTGACCCCCGCCCCCTCCGTCTGCCGCTGAGTCATCATTGGCCCCTTCTGTCAGCAAGCTCACTATTCAGCAAGGGGATTCAAACAATGCTGGGAATTCTTGGGTTCTGGTGCTCGTCTCCACCCCCACCCTCTTCTAAAGACCATTTTGTTCTTACGGGAGCTGATTCACTCTCTCTTGCCCTCGCATATTATCTTTAGAGGCTGCATTGTATTGTAGTTTATTGAATTGGATACTGTTCTTTTAGCATCTACTTAACACACCTGAAGGGGGAAAAAAAATACATTTATGAGATGCCGTTCTAGTGCCGAAACCTTGCACAATAACGCAAAAAGGCTTTTGACTGCATATCTAGTTCTTTAAATTGCTAATCAAGAAGTTTCCATTCCATTCAAAGCAAAGCAGCTCTTGCTTTAAAGAAACCAGGCTCAATTCTGAGGACAACCTCCTGTCAGAATTAGTAAATGGACCATTATTTAAGACGCACAATGATAGCTGGAAACAGTTGATAGTTATCTTGGCCAGGCCGCACTCTCTCCTTATAAATGCATTGGTGATCACTCCAGATTCTTCCCCCTCCTGAGCAAGAGGCCAGATCTTCCTGCCTGGCCCCTGCCCACTTTCCCGGGATGGGCATGCAAAGATCCAAGTCACGCTGGCCTGCAAGAGCTCCCCTCTCCCCACCCCCGCCGCGCCTGGTGCATGCAAAGGCGGGGCAACCAGGGACCGCACTTTGGCTTCCTGGGGCGCCGCCGGCCTGCAGGCCCGCGGGCGGGACTCAGCGACTGCGCGCCCCTTACCTGCAGTGCCGCATGGCGCAGCCCGGCCACCCACCTGCACAGCATCCTAGCTAGAGCATCCTTTCTTCAACGCCAGGGCTGCGAGCGCGGTGACGTCACCGGAGGCGGGTCCCACGCCGCCACGTGATACCCTCGGGGGCCCGCGGGAGGTAGCGGGAGGTGGTGGGCAGGCTGGCGGGGCGAGACGGGGTGGGGGAGCCCCTGGGAGTCCCTGGCGGTGAGGAGCGAGTGGCCGCGAAGCCAGCCTCGGCCTCCGTCTGGGCGCTGAGCTCGCTGCGCGCAGCTGGCTTGGCCTTCCACCAACTGTGGGAAACAGACGGCACAGAGGGAGAAATCCAAATGATTACAGGCTCCGCGCATGTAATAGGATTTCAAGAGAGCTAGCAGTAAGGGGATTAGTAATGAAAGGAAGTAATTTAGTGTTTTATTTTAAAAGTCTTTATCAAACGCAGCGGAGAAGTAAGTATATTTCTGTAAGTGAAATTGACAATGAAAATACTGCGTGCATGAACATACTTTACATAGAGGGCCCATGTTTCAAGTCGCTTATGAAACAGGATAGCAAATACTTGCATTTGACGCATATTCATTATGGAATAGTATACTAATTGCACTGGTGAATAATGCTCTTAATTACTCCCAATAGCTACATTCCGACATCAACCTGTATTGGCCAAAGAAAAAGGTGGTAACAACACATTTCTACTACTTCCTTGAACTTCTGATTATTTAAAATAAAGCCGTATTGCATGAGTGTGGCTGTACACATGTCTGTGTTTTCTTAAATCTTCTGGCAAGGGCTTTGATCTGTCTTGACATGACAGAGTTAATTCACAGTAGCTCATTATTTCACGTTTTCTAATTTTTATCATATTCTGCAGAAGTGAGTCATCGTACTATTCTAGAAAATATGTACAATGTCAACATTCCTCATGCACAACCGACAACAGCCTTGCCTAGAAAGCCTGAGACAATTCCAACTGTGGTCATTTCGTAAATTAGAAATGGCATATTTTAGACTCAAGCAGTGAACATATCAGCTTTTCTCGCCAAACCACATAAATGTCTTTAACTGTGAAAGGACAAAAGCAAGAACTGTTTTTATTTGTATCCCAGTTTCCCATAGCCCTAGTTTACTTGCACTTGCGTTGGAATCACCATTTTAACATTCCCTTTGCTCGTGCCCCTGGAGGGGATGTGAAGTGGATCGTTTTACAAGCAGGCCAGGCTTACTTGCTGTTTATTTCAGCAGCTTTCGTGTCCTTCTATATTTAACTCCGGGCATTTGACTGCCATTCCCTCCGGGTGAACACAATTTCTGTTCACAATGCCAGTCTCTCTTTGGGGGTAAATATGACCCTCTCTCAGCCAGCGATTATTTTCAACACCAGATTTTAAAAATCAACAAAGTGGCCATGTGCTTTTCTAGGTCACTCTTCTCAAGTTTGTTTGTTTTTTTTGGTTTTTTTTTTTTTGGTTTTATTTTTTAAGTGATAAGCAACTTACCTTCTGGTTTCAGATGCCTGAGATATAGAGTTAAAAATGCTACGGAGATCCCCTCTCCTGTGGGTTCAGGGTCTGACGGAGACAGAAACTGACAGGCTCTCTCTCCCGCCAGAGGTGACTGTCGATTTCAGCCTCACAAGACCAGGCCTTCCCACCCCACCCCCAGCCGGCCCGGAGCGTCACGTGCTCCGCCCAGCCACTCAGCCCTGCCCAGCCAGCTCTGTCACCTCGTCTCTGGAGGCCCGGCAGGCCAATTTCCTTCGCCTACACAGGGGCATTCGTGCCCGGAGAGAACCCAGCGTCCCTAGCACAGGAAGCCCTGCTGGGCGGCGCAGACCACTGCGACAGACTTCCAAGAATCTGTGCCAGGCAGGGGTCCTATCAAACGCCCTCCTGCCGTCTGAGGCGATCTGCTCCGAGTTCCGGATTGGTGGAAATGTCGAAAGTAGAGCCACCTTCCTCATCGTGGGCGACGTTTTTGGCCCATATGTTAGTTTCACCTTCTGTTTTCAAGGTGATTGCTCAAGTATAAAAAGCATTACAGCAAATAGGCAGTTCAGAAAAGGCCGGAAAACTGCAATTTTCAACAGAATGAGGTAACCCTTCCAACATCCTCCACGCCCACCGATGAAACTTGTCATTTTGGAAAAGATTTTTTTTAATTAAAAAGAAAGGATACCACCCATGAGAATGCACATTGAAAAATCTTCCTGGTAGGCTGTTTAGCTTTTCTTTTCTTTTCTTTTTTTTACCAAGAGCCTTACAAGCCTGCATGTTTGAAAAATACTGTGGGCCCCAGGGCTGTGGAATTTTTACGTGTGGAGAGGGAGGGAGGGAGGGAGGGAGTGCAAACAATCACTTTGGGAAAGTTTGCTGCAGTATTGTTTATGATCTCAAAACACCGAAAGCAAGTTAAATCTCCAAAAACAGAGGATGGGTTAAATTATAAGACATCTGTTCAATGGAAGACTTGAAATTAACACGGTAGTCAATACTTTCTGACATCGAAATACCTTCACAGTTTATCAAATGAAAAAAAGCAAACTCTAAAGCATTATGTGTTGATCGACCTTTCTAGTGAATGTAGGTGTGATATATTTCTATTCGCACAAAGACTGTAATATACGCACATGGAAAACAACTAGGAAATGAATTCACAGAAGTATCAAGCGTGGTATTTCACTGGTTAGTGGGATGAGAGGTGTTTTGCGTGCTTCTTTTTAGTTCACCTACATTTTCTAATTTTTCTAGAATAACATGTATTGCTTTTGTAAGAAGAAACAGTTATTGTTGCTTGTTTTCTTCAAAGCACCATAGTAGACATGTGTTCGTGGGATAAACATTTTGGTGTACTTTTTATTGTAGATTTTATTACTTGAAGAGTCTCAGATCTTAACCGCAAAGCCCCCGGAGAACAATTCCTGGTCTTCCTAGATTGTTCTGCTCATAAAAATCTTTTTTTTTCCAAAAAAAATTACGTTCCTTTATTGGAGCAAGATTCCTGACCAGTATACAGTGATATATTTACTAAACAGAGACCTGTGCAGAAATTACATAGTAACTATCTAGATAGGTTTTCATGACACTTTGCTTGTTGATGGAATAGTTCCGTTTATAAAGTTTTATACATCAAATAGTTTTGAATTGGACCAGGCTGTCCATTAATTTATCTCTGAAAAAGTTAAGTGGCATTTCATTTTTAGCTACTATATTTTACAGCACTACAAAGCATAGGGATTAGGTAGCTTCTCAAAAGCTTGCTCTCTGCACAGTGGCATTTAGCAGAGTTCACCGTCTCGCCCAGGCTCACGGAGACAGGTCTCATTGGATGATATGCTAAATAGCTGGTCCTTAGAGACAAAAGTACTCCTGACCTGAGTTTAACCACCAGTACAGACTTCTTACTGAGAGCCTGTCTTCTCGGCCACATTTTTGTAGTCCCGATAAAGACATGCCAGCAATAGCCCCATGTATGACCAGACACTAGAGAAGCAGATCTGTCAGATGGTGGTGGCAGGCGCTATTATTATACCCAGGCGTATGTACTGCCATTTTTTTAATGGCAACTTGAAATACAAAATTAAGAGTGCGACATACTTAGAACTGAATTTTCAGCAATCTGGCATCCTGATTGATTTAGAGATTTTCAGAAACTGAGAGCAAATCGTACTTGTACTGTTTCCCAGCTATGGAGACATTAACCCGTGGACTCAGATCCCTTTACTCAGTGCACATAGCCCTGGGCTCATCCTGCAAAGACCTGAACCCCCGACCCTTTGGCTTGCAGGACGATCCCCAGCCAACTGAGCCACGCCAGTCAGGGGTAGGTTGACAAAGTTTGACGATATGTTATACAAGTCAAACTTGAAAAGTCATATGTGTTCTGAGGGAAAAGCATCACATTCTTTGTGTACACATTTAGTTTTATTATTACAAAGCAATTTGTACACTTTCAACATTTGAAACTGACCATCACCTTTCCTTTTCAGTGAAACAGAAAGAAATTTAAAAATGAACAGGAACAAAATTACAATAGAGAAATGACAATTCCGAATAAGATCCTATAGGTTCTGCTGATTCTCCTATCAAGTGACAGGGCTCAAGTCATCATCAGGGAAGAATTTTATTTTAAAAGTGTCACCTTAAAATTGCAAGGATGTCCACTAAACATCACAATTAAACATACCAAAGGAGAAGCTGACCTATAACCCCTTTTATTTTTTAGTTTTTTTTTAAACAAGAGAAAGTAGACAGACCCATGTTGGTAAATGTTAACTGTCCATATTCACCTAGAGACACAGTGTAATCTCTGAGCCCCATATACAGAAAAAGGAAGGAAAAAGCTAGAATTCTATGCACAGCTACGCAGGGGCCTAGCGCCCTCCAGCCTCCAGCAGAGCTAAGGAAGCGAAGGTTTTTCTTTTTTTTTCCACCAAGCACGTGCGCTGATTCTATTAGGTTTTTGTTGAGACAGGAAGGGATAAAAATGAATTTGGAACAGAAAGGAGCAGGGATTCCTGTCCCACTGTATTCTTCTCAAGGTACATCCCTCCCCCCAAAATGAGGCGAGAACCGTGGTGTAAAGGAGAGAAAAGAGACCTCAAACACAGGGAGACTGAGCACAAGATGCGGGGGGGGGGGAAGACTCCAACTTGCTCCCAGGAACGGGAGAAAATTAAAAAAGAACATTGGAATCCATCAGTGTTCCATCAGCCATCCTCTCCTTCATCTTCTTCTCCTCCCTCCTCCTCATCACCATCTTCATCTTCTTCACATTTATCCTCATTCCCGTCTTCATCGATACCTTCCAACCCTTCTTCTTCATCATCATCGCCGTCATCTTTTTCTCCTTCCCCTTATTCATCATCCATATCAGGGACCAAGTAGTGGTCACTGTAATGGATTTGGCCAAAGGTCATCTTTGAGGACTTCTAACTCACCGGCACCTGCTTCAGAATGGTCAGTAAACCAGGTGAAAAAGCTGTGTGTTTCCTCACGCTGCCTGGCTTTAGTCTGCATTCGACATGAATGTTCTGGCGAATCCTTCCCAGATCTCCACTTGATGTCAGTGTGCTCTGGAGAGAGATCACCACTCCTCACTCAGATGAAATTCTCCTGAGAGAACTTTATTTTCAAAGTAAGGATTTTCATGAAAATAAAAATCGATTCTGTAACCTGATTTACTCGCTTCAAACTTTGTCACTTGAACTGTCGTCAAATAATGCAGTGCTTCTTCCTCCTCTTTTCCAAACAGTGCAGGCACTGTGCATGGTTGGCAAATGTTAGCTCGAAACTGGGGGTTTTGGTGATCAATTCTGACCTCTTCTGAAAAAGGGAATGGTTCGCGGGGTTTGTTATATTCTGTTCTACTTTCAAAATCTCTTCCCTGGGATGTTCATTAAGTCTATTTCACTTTGTGTTTTGTCGATATGTTCAATTGCTTCTCACTGTCCCTTCTCTCCCTTGGGCGAGTCCTAAGGGGCCCGCCTGTTCTCTGGCTTGGCGCCAGGAGGCAGTCCCTTCTTTGATGCAGGTGGGAGTGGAGACTGGCGCTGGGGGCCCTGCTGGGGGCAAGCCCGAGAACGAGACGGCAGGGAAGTCACACGTCTGGGAGAGCCTCTGAGAAGTGCTGCTCGGGAAAATCAGGAGGAACGAAGACGCCAGCCAGGAACTGCTGCTAATGTTCAGTCGTGTGGGGGGCCAGGCTCCAGTTCTCCTCCATTTCAATTCACTTCTTCTTCCACCCTGTGGACAGAGGGTTCACCGTCACCGTCCTGCCTGAAAAGGTCCTTCAAATATGCCATAACGTTTGGGCTTTTCACTTCTCTGCACTGGCGCCTTCTTTTTTTCAAAGAGTTCTGCGTTTTATCCCTTTGAATCTTTTTCCTCTTAATTATCTGCTGCTGAGACATTTGGTAATGGATGGGGACACTTCTGGCTGCCACAACAGGACGGGGGTGCTGCTGGCATCCAATGGGTGGCGGTCAGGGATGCTGCCCCGCTCCCCACAGTACCCAGGACAGCCTCTCAGCGGAGAATGTTCCAGGCCAGGCTATCAGGAGCGCTGAGCTGGGGAAACCCTGCTTTAGAATTACTTAAAGGTGATACTGCCAGCATGTGGGATACAACCGCCTGTGTGTTCATACCCTATTTCAAAATCGTCACACAGGACGCTGCCAAGGGTGGTTATTCTGGGGCCGAGAACTGGTGGCCACGGTGGCAGAAGGAAGCTGTCGTAGACGTGGAAACACATCACATAGTAAAAACTAGTTTTCAAGCCCCTTGCATTAGTGCCGCCATTGTCACTGGATTCTCCCCGCGGCCTGGGAAGGCGGGGCAAGCGTCCTGGGGCCTGTTTTGCAGGCGGCCGTGACCTGACAGCAGTTGCCCGCTCTGCTGGCGGGGCTGCCCTGTGCTCAGGCAGGGTCCTCCTCCGGGTGTCCGGGCTTGTCACCTGGTGCCACCCCAGCTCCCTGGGGCCCTCCGCAGCACTCGCCAGGTTACGTCCAAATCGTTCGCTCACACGCACGCCCAAGCTCCTGAAGGAGAGCGGGGAGCTGGGTTTACCCGGCTTGGAAAGCCCAGGGACCAGCGCTGTCTCCGAGACACAATGGTCCATCAGAACCAAAATTGTCTCCAGATGTTCTCAACC